TAGGTTTTTAAAGTATTCCCTTATAATATTCTGTATCTTTCTTGTGTCTGTCGTGATGTTTCCTCCTTTCATCTCTGATTTTATTGATCTGGAGGTGCTCTTCTTTTTGTTGACTGGGCTAGCGGTCTGTCTATCTTGTTTACCTTTTCAAAGAACCAGCTTTTGCATTTGTTGATTCTTTGTATTGTTTTCTTTGTTTCAATTTCATTAATTTCTGCCCTGATTTTTGTTATTTCTTCTTGTCTCCTGGGTTTGGGTTTCGTTTGCTCTTGCTTTTCAAGTGTCTTGAGTTGCAAGTTGTCTTTTTGAGACAGGGTCACCCTATAGTCCCAGCTGGCCTGGAACTCACTATGCAGACTAGGCTGGCCTTGAACTCACAGAGATCTACCTGCCTTTTCCTCCCAAGTACTGGGATTGAAAGCATGCACCAGCACACCTGGCTATATTTATTTTTTATTGAACTAATTTTTTAAAGCACTGTTTAATTATTTTCTTGGTTATGCCTTTTTTTTTTTTTTTTAAGGTCCAGGCTGGCCTCAGACTTAAAATTCTCTTGCTTCCACCTCCTGAGGGCTAGACTTACAGGTGACATTGCCAGATGTCTGCCACCACTCTGTTGGCTCCCCCTGTCATTTTTTGAAATATCTACTTGATACAGAATCCAGAGCCTTGTGCATGCTAAGTAAACTCCTACTGAACAATATATGACCCTTGCACTGCCTTTTTTCATTGTAGCTTGCATTTTAAACACTTTTACAGATGCCCTCTTTTTTAAAAATTTTTATTCTTTTTATGTAGCAGCGATCAGTACCAAGTTCCAGTCTCAGAGTCATGCTCTGCTGGTGTTAGTGAAAATCCTGCCATCAATGTAGCATACTTCCGACACTCAGAAGTTCACTGGCCAAGGCTCGCCTCCCCCCGAGCTTTAATAGTGTACAAGGCATCTTTATTTTTTATAATTTCTATTTTGTGTAAACAGTTGTGTGGTTTGCTGCTTTTTATACTACTATTTTGAGATGATAGTCTAATTGAACTTTTTTTTCTCTTGGGAAGGATTTATTGAAGCACGTTTTTATTTTTATGAACTTCATAATGAGGGTAATTTAAAATATTAGTTTTTATTGTGTTATTGTATACACAAGAAAGTAATATGTACTTATGGGATACCCCTGTAAAATATAATATGAAAGTCTCAATAGTATGATCTCCTTCAAAGGTGATCACTTTTTTTTGTTTTGTTTTTGGTCTTTTTTTGAAACATGGTCTCCCTTTAGCCCCGGTTGTCCAGGAACTCACTATGTAGACCAGGCTGGCCTTGAACTCACAGAAATCTGCCTGACTCTGCCTCCCAAGTGCTGGAACTACAGGAGTGCGCTACCATGCCCTGTCAAAGGTGATCGATCATTCTTAACTGTTTTTATGGTTTTTTAAAATTTTACTCCTTTGTTTAGACAAAACATTCATTTGTTTAGCAAACATATTTTATCATGCGTTATATACTGTACTACATATTTATAAGCTGAACACTATTGGTACGATATGTTTTTTTCCTATATAATAATACTTTAAATTCAGCACTCTACTGCTTGAAGTTTCAAGAGTCACTATTATTTATACTTAATTTCCCAAAACATTTTACATTTTTTGAAGCAAATTATGATTTAAACAGAGCCTCTAAGATGTCTCAGCAAGGTAATTGTCATCAGACCTGGCAACTTGGGTTCAGTCCTTGGGACCCATATGGTAGAAGGAAAAAACAGACTCCCCCAAGTTGTTTTGACCTGTGCTCCCTCGCAAATAAATCAATAAATGTAAAAATCTTTTTTAAATATTCAGGCAAACTTCCAGTTTTGATGGCTAACCTTTTGATCTTACTAGAAGATAAACAAGATTAGTTATAAAGACTACATGACCAAGTAAATATACTTTGTAGAGCTAAAATGTGAGATTTAAATTTAGTGCAATGTATATTTTAGGTAGCAGTCATCTGATAAGTACATCTTCTTGATGAGACGGACAAAAATTAGTGAAGAAGATTCTGGGACCTGCACCCAGGATGGAGCAGAAAGAGCAAACAACAGCTTCAAGTGACAGAAGTGGAAGAGAAAGAACTGCTAAGTATGGTGAGGGGGTATAATTAAAACTGTTGAGCAAAACAAAGATT